ATCACTGCATCTTTTGATCTTCTACTAAACATCTTAAGCTTTCAAAGCATAATGGGAAGTGCCCTGTGCCCCATACCATGTGAGAATACCTACTTTGTTTCCAAAGTCTGAATTTAATGCCTATTGCTTTGTTTTCTGCAATTAGAGATGACTACACTCTGTGAGTGAAATCTTGATAAAATTAAGAGATTTAGTCATCACCTTTTACGTATGCCAAGGTGATATAGGTAGGCCTGTTGAAAATAACTATCTGCAAGTCAGTGTAAAGAATCATGTCTGCTCTCATCATAATTGATAATCTCTAGAAGACAAACCTCAATTAACAGCAAATGCAGATGGTTTTTGGAGTTCAGCAGCAAAGAGGCTCTGAGGGTTAGTGCATCAACAAAGCATGGTAATTGTTTCACTGTGCTCCTTATCTAGCCCCAAAAGAAAGCAAGAACAGCCAGCTAGTAAACAAGCAGTGATAAGCTGTCAGCAATTCTGTGCAGTAGAGGAGATATAATTCTGCTGTGCAATACTGATCCTGGAGGAAAGTGAGATTTCAGTCAGCTAGATGCCTACTATGTGACAGCCCAACAGCAAAGAGGAGATGCTTTAGCCTTACAGAGGATGAGAAAAGTTAGAGAAGTTCCCACCCAAACTTCACACTGACATACCACAGCCTTATCTATGTCTGTGGTCTGCCCAGGTGGAGGACAGTCTATCTGCTGTTTAGCTCAGGCTACAACTACTTGGTTTTAATTCCCTTTAGTCAATGTGATGAGCTGTTGCCCACTGGGGAGTGTGACATTCCTCAGGCCAGGTCACAAGTGACTATGACAAATACTGAAGTTAGCCCTATGCCACAACTAAGACTCATTCTCAATCTGCACAGAAGTGCCTTGAGAACATGCAACTACCCAGATCCCTGCCTTGACTCACAGCCCTGTATCTTGCAGCTCCAGTCCCAACGCACACCTGAGCCTCGCTCACCTCCTTTCTTCTTACAAACATTTGGGCCCCTTGGTCTGCCTGACCAATCAAGCTGCCATTTGCCATGCTGACACCATCCTTCCCTTCACCGTGGATGGGCTCTTCCCTCGTTCTCTTCACTTTATAGCTTCAGTCTCACCTGTGGCCCATGATACCCACCTTCACCCTCAGATCAGTCCAACATTCCTTGCTAGGCTTGGCTGCCCACAGCCTGGTTTTAACAACTCCAAACAGCAACTTGCCTGCTGAGGAGCCAAGAGGTATTAACCCCTGCTTCACCAGCACAATCAACACTGCATGCTCCTGAACAACACAGTGCAGTCACAATCAAGCACTCCTGTCTCTACTGTGAGCATCCTCCACACACTGCCCAGAGAATAGCCCGGAAAGCAGGCAGGTATGGCACTGTTTCAAGGCACTTGAAAATTAACACCAGTAAATTTAAAAAAATTAGAAATACATCTACAAGTGACAACCCTTGTCCCACACCAGTAAAGTCAAAACAAGTTCAGATTCCACCTCCAGAATCCAAATATTGTCACACCGAGTAAGATTCGTTTCGGCAGAGGCCCAGTGTCTGAAACCCTTTCTGACTTTACCAATATCTCTGGGTAAAACTAAAAAATAATTAGTAGTGACACTGTAAGCAAAGACTGTTAACATTAACATAATGGCTATGCAGAATACCTAAAACCAGGAACTTCTGAGATATGAATGCTGCCTCTCCTACCGATGAAGATGAGATTGATACACATGTGGTTTTGATGCCTGCACTATTTTTTTTAAGAACGTTCCTTCCAAAAGAAACAAGACAGGTGTAGTCCTCAGCCCTGCAGCTGCCCACTATCAGGTATTTCATATGGATCTCAAAATGAGAACAAGGCAATTTATGGTGCTAGAACAGACCAGAAATGAACACCCTGTGGCAGTCCTTTTTGAAACCTTTGCCATTTGTAGTGTCTAGGGATAGGAATATTTTTTTTTCATACGGAGAAACAGAGCAATGCTTTTGGAAAGCATTTTTTCTCCTTAAGATGCGTAAGCACAGATCTATCTTGGTTTTTTGGGGAGGAGGCAGACTTGGCTGAAGATGTACCCACCTGAAATTCTAAGCAATCAGGAAATTTCTGCCTGCCAGGACTGTCCTCCCTCATCCTTCTACAAGAATTATGGCGGTGCAGTAAGTGCTGTAAAACAAATTTTGGCTTTATGCTTAGAGACCTGAAATGGGAAACATGACCTTAATTTTTACTGAAGGATACTAAACCTTCCTACTTTCAAACCCATTCTCCCCTATTTTCCTATGCTTGGGCGGGGAGGAGGTTGTCTGTAAACATCTTTTTAATCATCTAGATCATAAAGGTTATAAAATTGAGTCTGAAGACCACTTACATCTGATGGTTCTCCTTTCTTATGTACATGGCTTCCTCTGGTTAACTGCATATTTGCCTGAGCTTAAAGGTAAGATTAAAAATAAATAAATAATTCCTGTTAATTATATGAGGTCCTGGAAACAGCAACAGAAGTTAAATGCCAAAACAGAAAACAACAGAAGAATCACAAATTTTACACCTTAAAAGAACCTGGATTCAATAGTATTTATTTTCTTCCTTTAGAATTTTTTAAAAAATAACATTTTTAAGTACACAATTTTATAACGTTTTGTGATTGACATGTTTTCATGTTTCCTGAATGACTGTAGCAAAATCAACCACAATTCCTACAATTACAGCAGTTCAACACATATGTGAAGACATTAATATTATAATGTTCATAAGTTACTCTTTCCACTTTGCAGAATGGCTCTCTTTCATCACATAATTGATTTCAGTGTCATTTGTGACATGTGTTGTACTCAGATGCGTACTGTTTTAGGATTGTAATCAAATTCTTCTAAGGGGCTTCTACAGGGATAAATCAGGAGTTTAGAACTATGGCTTTTTCTTAACTGGAATACAGATGCAATTTCTCATTGGAAAAACAGCCCCATTTCCAAATGACACCAATTGATGATAGCCTAACAAGAAGCAACATTATCTGTACCACATAATTTATATTACATAAACCCTAATGTGGTGCCAAAACAACATTGAAAAAACATGCTTGGCTAGAGGCAAAAACTCAGCTCACTTTCCTTCTCAATTAAAGAAGAGAAACATACTTGACTGATTGCTTTGGCAGACCAGCAGGCTGCCTGTGCTTAATAATACCAGAGGAACTCCACAAGCTTTCAGATTCCATTAGTAAGTATCTTCAACATAAGCTTTTTAAAAATGAACCTCAAGATTATTTTCCTTTTAAAAATATGCTTTTTCTCTCACTTCCTCCCACTAGTCCCTGCATCAGGCATAACAATGCACAAACATGGAGAATGCAGTCCTAGCTGGGCATTTGTCTGTCACAGGAGAACTTTATCCTTTTGTTAAGCAGTGTGCTCTGCATGTATTTTTTAAGCAATCTTGAGTTCACAAATAATTCCCTATATGCCTTCTTCAGACTTGCCACATACATATGTCAATTGGCTCAAAGGCACAACAGCTCTTCACTTTGCAAGTCTGAGTTGTGAACATGCAACAAAATTCCAGCTTCATATTCACAACAGAAAACAAAGAAGCTAAACACCAAATTTAGCAATGATTTGTCCTTCTTCACAGTTAATTAGATTCCTCTTTTTGACTAGTTCAACACTCTTCCTACATCTACCGATCTATGACAACACAATGGGCAGTCAAGCATTTGAAATAAGGGTGGCTTTTGTCTTGGGAGTCCACATTTATTTTTAAATTTCAAAATATCACGTAATATTTAAAGAAAATACACTACTGCTATCACACAGCTAGTTTCCTCCTATACCTGTTTTATGCCATATAAGTTTATGCAGAAAATACATTTATCAGCTTCACACATATGGCTGCCACTTTGTTTAGAATACGGGTGGAGGGCAAACAGATCTAAATTAGTAACCAGTAAAGATATTAGTATGCTCAGTGAAAAACTGAAGCTTCCAAAACATCTACTTAGCAGCCTAACTCTCTATAGCATGAGACTCACTGAGCCAGAGAGGAACTACACATGAACAGAGAGCCATGTAGTAATTGCTTGACCACCAGCTTCAATAGGGCAGGCTTGGAATCAGATCACTCCCAACATCTTTTCTTCCCCTCCAACACGCATAAAGTCTCCGACCCAGTGAACACTTAAATCTGCTAATCAAACTGGAAGTTCTGATACATTAGCAAACACACCACTACTCTAAAGCCTAGCTGTTACAGTATGCTTCACAAGAGTAAAAAAAAAAATAAAAAAATCATTCACATTCCGTCAAGCAGAGTTCATCAACTAAATGAACCCCTCAGTTTTACAGATGGTTAGCCAGTGTTCCCACCTCTAGATTGGAATAGCATTTAGTCAGGTCACCAACCCTTCTCCTTCTGGTACATCTCCAATCTCGAAAGAGGAGCAATCTTCAGGAAGTGACTGCAGGATTGCAAGAAGTACCTCCTGGTACGGAGACGGTAAGATGCTTAGAACTAAAGAAGCACAGAATTTAAGAAAGAGCCTTGCCACCTGCACTCCCTGTTCACCTGTAAAGGCAGCTCTGTGATCAACACGCTTACTTCACACTTGGCATGACTGTTTTTGTGGTTCTTTATAGGCACTGAACGTATTTAATACATAATGCAAAGCCCTGGTACAAAATTTTGCATTCCAATATTGAGTTTGACGTGAGACTTTAGGAGGTGCAATACTCACAGTAGCGCTGTGAAGTCTGTCTTTGATCAGAGTTTCTTCTATCACAGCCTCCAGAAAAACTAAAGATGTGGTTGCTACAGGCATGCCAGTAGATGACACGATCTGAAACAACTGGCACTTCATAATAGCCTCAAACACCCCCTGGCACCTTACAAAGGAGCATAACAGAAAAAATGTTGCAAGGAGTAAGAAAAAGTTATGCTCGTGACAGTGTTAATGGGAAAATAATTTGCATATCAAAGTGAAAAGGTATCTTCTGATCAGAGTCTCTCTCATTCTTGGACCATCTTGTACACAGGGTCTCCGACTCGAATCGTTCCAGTTTTGTCAATAGCAAAGTATCTTCCGAAGAGAGGGCTGGATTTGTATATGTGCCGCTCCGACGGGTCACACATGCGGTAGCTGCAGAGAGAGAGCGCTTCTTTAGAATCAGCAGGAGCAAATTCTAACAATCAAAATAACAGCAATGAGAGAGAAAACCTTTGAATAGTGATGCCCTGTTTTGGTAACCACACTAGACTAAAACCTAAAAATACAATTAAGAGAATCAAGCAGTTGGAACTGAGGACAAAAACAAAAAAAGCCTGATTGTACTCACACATCCTTCCTAACACACACAAAAGGCTTTTTGAACAGAAAAGCCAAAGTTGCAAAGTCAGATCTTTAAATACTTTAAGTAACTGTTACCCCAGGCATACACCCTAGCAGAGATGAAAGAGATGGCAAATACAAAGTTTGGAAGAAAAAAGAGAGAACTTCCTGAATTTTCATACCATATAGATATGTAGAAAGTAGAATGGAAGCCAATATACACAGACCTTTACACTATATTATTATGTCCCACACAAACTTCAAACCATTTTCAAAACACTTGTCTAACATCTGTTGGGATCTAGCCTAAATCCACTGACACAGCCTAAGAAGCATTGGTACTTTTCCAACCTTTTCAATGTTTCCAGAGGCTCCTTCCTGTCCAGGACCCCAGTGTCTGGGTTAACAGTTGTTAAAATACACCTGCAATGACAGACGGCATCAAATCAGTAACAGCTTCTTCTTATAAGCCTCTATACTTTATATAAAATAAATCTCAGTTGTTCACCTGGCACAGCACACTGTCCCTTTCATCTCCACATCGCCAATTAGAATGTCCTCCCAGGTGTCCTGAGGAAAGGTAAACATTATGAACAGATTACACATATTCACATGTGGGATATGTCACACAGTCATTCCTTGAAGAAGCAGTACCATTCCAGATGATGACCTTTACTTGCACCTCCAAAATAAGTACAATTATATTATGGTACTACTTTAACGAAAACTCTACAGCCACTGCATTCATCCAGTTCACAAACCACTAATAATTATATCTGGGAAGAAAGATACACAAGTAATAAATTCTTATGCACTTGTCCTAACCTAGAGAGTTTATTCTTACTGTATGTATGATAATCTGGTCTGTGACTTCCAGTAATTCATCATTTCAGAAAAAAAGGTAATTTTTGGTGGAAGAAAGCTTTTGCTTCTTACTTACATAAGCTTCCTATTGCGATACTTCCTGGAAGACAAAATTCCATTCCCATTTTAGGAACTGATTCTATTGGGGTGATTATCAGAGCTATACAGAGAAAATTACTTAGAAAAATGGCAACAGGATATAAAACCACTCAAAAGTCACCATCAATAGTTCATTTTGTGACCAGATACCTTCCCAGAGAAGTGTTTTTTGAACTACCAGAATACTGTCAGATGCAGCAAGACTGCAGTATTGCAAGGTCAGTTCTACTTGCACACAAAAGGCTTTAGAACAGCATGCTGTCAATTTACAAATTATTACAAATGAGCTTTCACAGAACCATGGAACTGTCAGAGTTGAAAGGGACCTCTAGAGATCATCTAGTCCAACTCCCCTGCTAAAGCAGAATCCCCTGGAGCACATTACTCAGGACTGCATCCAGGTGGGTCTTGAATATCTCCAGAGAAGGGGACTCCACCACCTCCCTTGTTCCAGTGCTTTGTCACCCTCACCATAAACAAGATTGTCCTCATATTTAAATGGAACTTCCTCTGTTCCAGCTTGTGCCTGTTGCCCCTTATCCTGTCACTGGGGACTACTGAAAAGAGTCTGGGTCCATCCTCCTTGCACCCACCCTTTAGGAACTTAAGAGACAATCATAAGGTCTCCCCTCAGCCTTCTCTTCTCCAGGCTGAAGAGTCCCAGCTCTCTCAGCCTTTCACTATAAGGGAGATGCTCCAATCCCCCAGTCATCTTTGTTGCCCTCCTCTAGACTCTCTCTAGTAGTTCCCCGTGTCTCTTGAACTGGGGAGCCCAGAACTGGATGCAGTATTCCAGATGTGGCCTCACCAGGGCAAAGTAGAGAGGGAGAATGACCCTCTCAGCCTACTGGCCACACTCTTCCTTACACATCCCAGGATTCCATTGGCCCTCCTGGCAACAAGGGCAGATTGCTCATGGATAATTTATTATCTACCAGGGTTCCCAGATCCTTCTCCTTGGCACTGCTTTCCAGCAGGTCCACCCCTTACCTATACTGGTGCCTGCCATTCCTCCTCCCCAGCGGCAAGACTGTACACTTGCCCTTTTGAACCTCATCAGGTCCTTCTCTGTCCAGCTCTCCAGCCTGTCCAGGTCACGCTGGATGGCAGCACAGCCTTCTGGAGCCTCTCAGTTTGGTATCATCAGCAAACTTGCTGAGGATATACCCTTTCCCTTTATCCAGGTCATTGATGAATATGTTGAACAAGACTGGACCAAGTGGGACATCACTGGGAACAGGCCTCTGACTTGACCCTGCTCCATTGCTCACAACCCTCTTGAGTTCTGTCACACAGCCAGCTTTCAGTCCACCTCACTGTCCACTCATCTAGCCCACACTCCCACAGTTTCCTAATGAGAATGTCATGGGAGACACTTTCTCTTTTGTTAAGCTAAATAAGCATTCACAGACTTGTCTCCTCCCTCAGTGTTTCATATGCACTGATGTGAGCTGAAATTATCTCTCTGGAACCCAATTGTGAAAAAAAAATAATCTCAGAAGAGCAGCTTTCCTTATCCTTTTAAGCACTTTCACACAAGGAAATCAAGTTACAAACATACATACATACATACAGTTTCCAAAACCACACTTAAGACAGCTGTTGTACCTCCTCAAAAGGACTGCAATCTGTCACAAGAATGTTTGGTCTGAAGTTCTCTATCTTAACTTTCTTCTCCAGCCTAGAATTTAGATCTTCCAGTGAAGCTTCCGAGATGATCAAGGCTGGGCTACAGTCAGGATAGGCGACCTACATAAACAAACACAAACAAATCCTAAGGTTGCTGTAAGAGCATGGGAGCAAATTTACCGAATGGCAAAATGACAGATATGTTGGAACCAGCGGTCACATATTAGCTACATATAAACCTGTGACTATAAGCTAACTGGATTTCTCTATACAGTGAATCTACCTTATCACAACGCCAGAGGGAGCTTCATATACAGGAATAACAACACTAAATTGAAACAGTCCATTTGTCAGCCTCAGTTTGCTTGCAAGTGGGAGGGCTGCCATTTTAGTAAACAAGGTAAATGAACAGTATTAAAAGAGAACTCCTATATATGGTAGGCCCACAAAAAAAAACCCCACACCACAAAGATAATTTTTAACAAGAATTTTAGAGTTTAGCTCTTACATTATCCCTTCCCCTGCCATGTACGTGCATTTACAATCACAAGAAAATGAGTGTTGAAAAAACTACACAAACAATTCTGCCCTCTTTTCATGTTAGGATTTGTTGATGTCATCCCTCTTAATCTGACACCCCTTTTGATGAAATTACTCTTCTGCATTGGTTTCAGAGCCCTTACATAATACACGTGCACGCATAAAAGTCTATAATTGAATATACCTCTTCTCTTTGTGCAACAACAAGCAAAATGCTGATGCCCTACAGATAACAACATCACATTAGTAAGGGAAGGTACTCCCTAAGGTACTCCTTAAAAAGCTTACACTCATCAGGTATAGTTCAAACCATCTTCATGTGAGAGAGTTCTTCAGACAAAAAGAACGGCATCAGTGGCTCCAATGCTATGAGGACATCTGAGCACAGTATCTCCTTTATTAAGACTTGTATTAACTTCCTCAAATTCCACAGCTTCAAGCCTCTTACCAGAAAGAGATAAATGAAACCTCTTTCCTGGGTTAAGCATTGCTCCTTTAAACAAAATACAAGGAAACAACTCAGCTAAGTACACTCCTAGACCTAACAAGGGATAGGAAACAGAGGTTTCTATGCACTATAAATTACACCCCCAAAATATCTTTACAAATATAACTTCTTCTATTCATTGAGGAAAAAAGGAATGCTATTAAATTCTGCTATGCAATAGTTCCTCTTCAAATACCAGTAACAGACTCTTTAGCTGTGAATGGCCAATAGCTTAGAACAGATTTTAAATAAAATTTAAGCAGGTCTCCTCATAATAGAAAATTAGAATATTCATGTGGTTTAAGTACATGACTACACACCTTGCTAGCCTAGGCTCAATCATCAATGACAGAATGCGAGGGTTTCAGTGGGTGGGTGGGAAATGGTTAAAATAAAGCACTTACATGAAAAAGAACATTGATTTACCTCATCAGTGCTTCGGAAAAGGTTTATGCTGTCCTTTGACTTTCTTGGCACCATGGAGGACTCAAAGTGTACCAGTCGGTATGGTTCTGATTTCAGGAAAGTAGTGATCCACTGAGCCACTTCATCTCCACAATCCCTGCCTTGGATATCCAGTCCAAATACCCTGAACGTCACGAGACACATCAGCACTTTAGCTGGAAAGCCAAAGGCTCAAACTTGCTTATTATTTAAAGGCAAACAACTTGTTTTAATAGTAGTAGCAAGGTGCAGTAAACAAACAAACTGGATTACACTGAGGTGCAAACTGGTTTCTGAATTTAGCTCACGGATCATTCCCAGTGCAAAATGTCCTTGTGGAGACCTTGTTTTTTCGTAAACTAAGTAACATAGACACAGCCAGGATACAGCAGTTGGTAAAAGAATGAGCCATTAAATAGTCTTTAGTTGCCCAGAACTAACTTTCACATCAATGACCAGTAACAAACCTACTTGTTTGTCACACTCGCAAGCAAAAAAGAACTCTACTCTTGCATTTGCATGTGACTCTTGCATTTGCAAGATCTCTACCCATAAATCAACAGAAAGGCAATTAATTTCAGAAAATGAATAACAGCTTGAAAGGATGTGGCTAGTTACTGTAAGTGACACAAGTGTTAATAATTGTAAACGTTCTGAAATTTTCCTGCAGATTTTAGTGCTGTAAAAACGTAGCCAGACCCAAGCGAAACTTTTAAGCTCAAACTTAACATAAAATAACAACTCAGTATCTTAAGAGAGGTTAAAGGTTTGTAACGGAAGCAAAGTCCATGGGACATAAAAAGCCACTGGCAGCAGAATACAAACAAGTTTATGCCATGAACACTTTAACAGAAATGTTAAAACTCAGCTCAACCTTTCAATAAACTTCAGCAACAGCCATGAACAGTTTTACTACTTTCTTCAAAGTACCGATTTTGACCCAAATGCACTGCACTTTTCTCTGTCTCTGCAATCATACCCTAGACAGCTTAGAGCACAGAGATGCCCAGGCTGTTCATGTAGGAGCCCAGCTCCACAGAGCCCTCTTTTATTCATAAAAGAGACTGATGGTTAGGATGCTGGCAGCAACATCCCTGCTGTCTTAGCTGGGATCCCTTTATGAACTCTGTGGCACTGGCTGGGATTCAATGTCACTGCCCCCAGACAGCACTCAACTCCCTTTCTCTCCCCTCCATTCTCTCAGTCCCTGTGTGCTTTCTGGCTGAGAGAACAACAGAGATGAGGGTCTTAACGGCTTCCAGTGCTACTGTTTTCCACCCGGGAAGCAAATCTATCCTGAGCATCTCATGGTATAGGGATCCATGGGAACAGATCACACAACTGAATTATTGTGACACATTCTGACAAAAAGCACAAATGATGAGCATAAGGCTTCTTAACCAGAAGGCTATACAGAAATTGTGCCTGCACGATGGCTTCAGTCCTACATTTGACTCCCCTGAACACAAGATTTGTAAATATCCACATAAAATCTGCAACTGGGCTTACCAGTTTTCAAGATTAGCGTCTGTGCAGCCTTTTGCAGCCAGATGCACTATTGCACTCACTGCCTGAGCTCCCAACACCTGGGCACAAGCCAGCACCAATCTGTAGGCATCGTGCTCACCCAGTGGCAGAATAAATGCAAGCCACGGCAGAAGAGCATACTGTGCAGTTAAACAGGGGCTCCTACGCACCAGCTGGAAGGGAAGAGTCTTTGAGAAAAAGCCAAATCCTCATTTGCCTGAATATAGTACCAACCCTAAACCTCATTCTTACAAATTGCTAAACAGATCAGAAACAATCAGCCTTGAGACAAGTGGTAAGCTGTACAAGCAGAAGGAAGTCGTACAAAACTTCAGGACTCCTCCTAAAAAGCACCAGGCAACATTTAACTGTAGGTATTGCTGATTTCACAGCCTATGACACCATCCACAACACCAGACAACTTGCTAACTTTTAAAATCCAAATACTGGTATCTAACTGTTGCTTATTTGCATTCCCAAATTCTAGCAAGTTTAAAGCCAGAGAACGCAATAGTTTATTATGGGAAAGAAATTTTTAAAAATTTAAGAAGAAGAAAGTCACTGATATCTCAAATTGGAAAATCCAAGATAATTTTGCATTACTGAAATGCATTAAGTCTAAGTACTTTTTCCAATGCCACAACAGATTTTAGAAAAAGAATGTATTGAAAACCACATGGTTTTGTAGTGTATGTGTAATTCGATAACATACACACATTATAGACAGATTTTTAAAAGACTGTCCTGTTTCTCCATAAGAAATGTTGTCATTTTTAACTTGCACCTGCCTTGTATAAACAGAGATACTGAACTATGCTGATCAAGAGCTTCCACAGCAACAGGGTTAGCCTCAGGCAAGCAAATTACTAATTTAGGCACCTCAGTTAAATGCCTGCAGACAGGGGTAGGGGAATCTATACCCTGACATCTCAAGTATTCCAAATGGCCAGCATGTATGCAAAAGAGTTGTTGCATATATTGGTGGTGACCAAGAAATTTCAATATGAATGACAGGCTCTGAGATGCAGTTGCTCACCCAAGCAAAAATGAAAACATGAGAAGCAAACATAAATGACAAGTCTGAGAAAACATGACAGTCTATGAAAACTGAAGATCACAGTTCATTTGGCAGACATACCATGTATTTTTTTTTAACCTTGTGTCATGTTTTCCTGAGATTTGTTTTCACCAAAGTTTAGCAGATTAAACCAAGACCTTTTGTTCCAACAATCGATCCTGATCTCCTGCGTAACACACAGTGCAGCACATCACAGAACGCTTTGGGTTGGAAAGAACCTTTCAAGACCACCTACTCCAACTCCCCTGCCATGGCCAGGGACATCTTCCACTAGATCAGGCCGTTCAAAGCCCCATCCAACCTGGCCTTGAACACTTCCAATGATGGGGCATCTGCAACTTCTCCAGGCAACTCGTTCCAGTATCTCATCACCCTCGTCGTAAAAAGTTTCTTCCTCATGTCTAACTTAAACCTTTCCTCTTTTAGTTTAAGGCCATTGCTGCTGCCAGTACAGGTCTCAGTCTTACGTCTCCATTATGCAGACTGCGAGAAAGACCCCAACAAAAACCAAGCAGAGCCACCCAACTTTCACCCTCCCATTTCTGCATAAGAAAAGGCAAACCATGACACAGTCTTGAAAAGCAAAGCATTAAAGTGAGAAACAGTATTGACAGAGAAAGGAGGTAAAAAAAACCAACAACAACACAGCAAAAACACCTTTCTCGAGTACCTGCAGTTCCTCACAGGATTTTTTCTGGGGAGCTTCACAGGCAAGGAGACCTTATTCATCTCCGGGGCTTCCAAGACCAAGTGCCCATCTTCAGAGTCGACAGAAACGAGGACCAGCCGCGGCTCCTGGCGAGCTGTAACCATGTGCCCATCTTCCTTGACCACCAGCCAAAACCTGCCAAAACGGGACAGGGGCAGAAACCCTTTCAACAACAAGGCCGAGAGATGCGGACTGAGCCGGGTGGCCCCGCAGGCCCTGAAAGGGCCGGAATAGCGGCCTAGCAAGCCGGGCAGCTCCAGCCCCCGGCTGGGGCCAGGCGGGCCGGGAACACCGGGCGGGGGCACCGGGTGGGAACACCGGGCGGGAACACCGGGTGGGAACACCGGGCCGGGGCACCGGGCCTCGCCTACCTGTCCCGCAGCTCCCCAGTCTGCAGCCCCATGGGCGCCACCCG